ATTGAAGACGCCTTACACTTTCTATTCTCCTTGCTTTAGGGCTGGATTCCAGGTCAATGAATAAGTTGCTTCAATTCAGAAAAGCAAAATATTAACTCAAAATTTTCAGACCAGAAAGTGCCAAGATGGATCTTAGGATACAGTTTCGCTGCGGATAAAGAGCGGCGAGGTCGACGACTCATTTTCGGGTCCCATTACCTAGAGCCGGGGCCCTTTGCTCAGCTGAGCGTTTCCTGGAAAATTGGGCCAATGGGCGCGCTCTCCGTGCCATGGCCCCGCCTCTCTTGGCTGCCTCGGACTACGTTTCCCAGCATGCAATGTGACGCTGGGAGGCCTGCTGGCGAAAAAGACTCCGTTACCCAGCGAGCCCGAGAACGGCGCAGGACCCTTGGACTTCACTTCCCGTCGGCCCGTGGGGAGGGCGCCGGAAGCCCGCCCCGCCCCTCATTGTGCGGCTCATACTAAACGGAAGGGGCCGGGAGAGGCCGCGTTCAGTCGGATCCCGGCAGCAGCTGCAGCGGCTCTCGTCTTTCCTGACTCTCCTTGCTATCTCCCTTTCGCTTCCGGAAACATGGTGAGCAGCAGGCCATGGCGACTGAGGGGTGGTGGCTGCGAGTCGGTCTGCGCGCGGGGGAGGGAAAGGGGGAGCGACGTCGGCACCCCCTCCCCCAGCGCCCCGGGCGGGATGAGGGTCTCGGACTGAGGGGCGGGCGGCGTTGGGACGCGCGTGCGCGCCCGCGGGCGCTGGGGAGGGCTGCCTCGGACGACGCTCGCGCGCCCCCTGGACTCCTTTCCCCTCCCCCACCGCGCTGGTGCGCTCGCGCGGACACCGACTGTGGGGGAGGGGTCCGTGGCGCGCGCGCGCCCGCCCCTCGCGGAGCAGCCGGGGACGCGCGCCGAGGCAAGTCGGTTCACGGGGGCGCGCGTTCGATACGAGCATGCGGCTGCGGAACTCGGCCCGGGGGGCGGCGAAGGAAAAGCGCGCGAGCGGTCTCGGCGCGCGCACCCCACCCAAGGGCTGTTCCTGTCTCCGCGTCACCCTCCCTCGACTGGCGGGTCTGTCTCGAGAGCAGGTGGCAAGGATGTCTGCACCCAGGAGGGGCGGGGGCGTTGGGCCAATGGAGATGCGAGGGCGTCGGGGTCCAGGCACTGGCGATTGGAATTAGGGGCCTGCACCGCGCGACACGGAGCCGCGGGTTTGCACCGCGGAGATCACTGTTCTGATCGGTAGCGAGGGAGCCCACAAAGCGATCAGGGTTGTGTGCTCCGTACATCCGGCAAAGGCTGGAACGGCGCAGTCGGCCGGCGCGTGCGCATACGCTCAGGCCCCTCCGCTGGGCCCGAAGCCCTGGACCAGCGGGGCCTTCGGCTCTCCCGGATGGGGCCTGAGGGTGGAGCCGAGTTTGGGGAAGTGACCCAGGCGGGCACCGCCCGGAAACCACCCGCCCGCCCCATGTTCGGCCCCAGGGCTACGAGAACTGAAGGTTGTGTAACTTGCCCAAGGCTCCAGCCGGCAGCGGACGGGGCTGATAACGCCGGTCGGTAAAAGCGATTCCTTGGGATTGAGGCCCTGGGGGTGCTACTGCCTCCGGGCACAGCTTTCTCGCCCGGACGGGCCGGGCCCTGGCGAGCACTTTTCTCCGCCTACTCCGGAAGCGGCGGAGTCACGTGGCCGGCTTCTGCAGTTCCGGGAGTGGGGGGCACAGCTGATTTCACTGTGGGCGGTAGACCCTCTCCTGTTGAGGGTGTCCCCCGGGATGGCCCAAAATAGACGTTTAAGAAGCTTTCGGGGTCCGTGGGCACTTGGGTTTGGCCTGCTAACTTCTATCAGCGATCTTGGGGTCCTGCATTTTTCCGGGAGGACAGGGAGGTTATGGGGTAGGGCCTTAATTAGGGATTGTGATTTCTGCTTTGGTTGAAGAAGACCTCAGCAAGAAAGAGGATGGTTTGTGTAACAACTGCATTGAGTAGTTCTGAAAGACTTAGCGAGGGTTGTTGAACTCATTGGTGTCTCATCTACCATTGTGGTTCTGTTTGCAGAAGAGATGGCTATCTATGACTTGCATACCTGGGTCCCCTTTCCCTATGTGTGAAGTTTTGAGTCAGCACTTTAATCCAGGAACTGAGATTGAGTACTTTAAGAAACGAGTCAGTAGCTTGTGGGTTCTTTTAATTCTGGGCTCACATCAAAGCCAAGGTTCTGGTCTTCACAGGTCTGCAGTTTCTAGGCTGTAAGATGTTCGGTGGGGGAGGATGATGTTGAATTCGATGATTAGAGGTCTCTTCTGTGATTGCCATTTTGGGGTTGTGTCCTGTCTAGTTCTTGGACAGTGGCTTGGGTGGGAAAATGGTGACATTTATCTTGGGAAGGGGATTGATGAGCTCTTGGGGCTGAGGACCATATTTGTTGGCATCTATACAGATCTCCTAAGATTGCAAAGAAGGGACTTTACGGGGAGTCCCAGAAATCTTTTGTTTGTAAAGTATATGTGGCTCATTCTCCAGGCCTCTGGTGTGGCAGTCTCTGATGGTGTCATCAAAGTGTTCAATGACATGAAGGTTCGTAAGTCCTCAACACCAGAGGAGGTGAAGAAGCGCAAGAAGGCGGTACTCTTCTGCCTGAGTGAGGACAAGAAGAACATCATCCTGGAGGAAGGCAAGGAGATCCTGGTGGGTGATGTGGGCCAGACTGTAGACGACCCCTACGCCACCTTTGTCAAGATGCTGCCAGACAAGGACTGCCGCTATGCCCTCTATGATGCCACCTATGAGACCAAGGAGAGCAAGAAGGAGGACCTGGTGTTTATCTTCTGGTGAGACCCTCATGCAGGCACTCCCTCCTGTCACCTGCCCCAGCCCTACCCCACTCTTCCTTCTCAGTATTGAACTTCTGTGGCTCCCGGTTAACCCAGAGGTGTGTGTTTGGGGGGAGGGTGTTGGAACGAAACACTGGTCAGAGAGGAACTTGATAAAAGCTTGAAAGCTGAGGACCAGTTCAGGGGGTTCTTGAGGTCCTCTCCCACTTGAGGGCACTTGCTAGACTCCAAGAGGGAATTTTGTCGCATGTTCTCTGACTCTGTTTCCCTCCAGGGCACCTGAATGTGCACCCCTCAAGAGCAAAATGATTTATGCCAGCTCCAAGGACGCCATCAAGAAGAAGCTGACGGGTAAGGGCTGGCATTGGTGCCATGTGCCTCTTCACTCAGGCTTCGGCTGCAGGTGGGGGTGAATGGCATGGTATACAAGATACCTCCCCCTCCTCTCCCCTGCCTGCTGGAACGTAACCTTGTCCCTACCATCTGTTCTGATTGGCTCCTTCCCAGCCCCGACTTCCCCTCCCCCAGTGCATCCTGCTCACAGATGCTCTCATTCTTCCTCACAGGGATCAAGCATGAATTACAAGCAAACTGCTACGAGGAGGTCAAGGACCGCTGCACCCTGGCCGAGAAACTGGGGGGCAGCGCCGTCATCTCCCTGGAGGGCAAGCCTTTGTGAGCCCCCTCCAGCCCCCTGCCTGGAGCATCTGGCAGCCCCAGACCTGCCCGTGGGGGTTGCAGGCTGCCCCCTTCCTGCCAGACCGGAGGGGCTGGGGGGATCCCAGCAGGGGGAGGGCAATCCCTTCGCCCCAGTTGCCAAACAGCCCCCTCACCCCCTGGACCTTCCTCCTCCCTCCATCCCTGACGGTTCTGGCGTTCCCAAACTGCTTTTGATCTTCTGATTCCTCTTGGGTTGAAGCAGACCAAGTTCCCCCCAGGCACCCCAGTTTGGGGGGGGCCTGTATTTTTTTTAACGATGCCCCAATTCCCCACCTGTTCCTCCCTTTTCCCATGCTGCCAACTTCTAACCGCAATAGTGACTCTGTGCTTGTCTGTTTAGTTCTGTGTATAAATGGAATGTTGTGGAGATGACCCCTCCTCGCGCCGCTGGTTCCCCTCCCTTTTGCCCCTGGTCTTTGCCACTCATGGAGGCAGGACCAGTAAGGGACCTTCAATTAAAAAAAAAACAAACACACACACGACAATAAAAAGGCTCACTAATGGGATGTTTGTTTCAGGGTTGGGGCCCCAGGGACCTTGTGGGGGGGGGGAGGGGGAGGTGTGCTGAGATAATGAGCAGCATCTCTTTTCTATACCAGAGCTCCACCCACCCCCTCCTCACTTAGCCCCAGCAACTGGCAGAGCCTCCCTCTGACACTCCTAGGTGGTGCCACAGCTGGTGCCAAACTGGCTGTTGAGGTGGCTGAGCCAGGGCGCACCTGCTGCCAGTCACAGGAGTCCCTTGAGCAGAAGGGGCTTCGTGCTTGAGCTCTTAAGCCCATAGCATTTGCACAGGTGGGTCCCTGGTCGCTGAGACCCATTCCCTGACTCCCTGCTCAGTCCTGCCTAATGGAGGCTATGAGCTTGCAAGTTACAAATTGCCTCTTGAGCTGTTTAGTCTGTCTGTGAGGTTTTCTTCGGTTTTTCTCTACCTTCTTAAATGGATGGCTGATTCATCTGTGAGGGCTGGGCGCAGTGGCTGCTGTGAGTCAGAAGCCAAGTTAAGCCTTTGGCCTCCTGCAGATGTGACTGAAGTCCAGGGTGGGGCCAAGCCAGGTAGAGCCCAGGACTTCAGACCCAAGTGTCTTGGGTCCCACCTCCCTGTGTTTAATCAAGAGGGTGTTGGCTGTGGCCCTGAGCCTTCTGCCAATATTGCTGCTGGCTCTCCAACCTGTACTTTGGGTTTTCACCTGCCTAGGAGGTAAAAGTATCCTAGAAGTTGTACCCTAAGGGTGTGGATGCAGGATTATAGTTCCCCACTCCCAGTCACCTGAACTGGAGGGAAAAAAGCCTCGGTGTTAAAGCTGGTCCCTTAGTTCCTTGGAGCTTGCCAGTATCCAAGAGGGAAGCAGGAAGGAGTAGTTAACTTTGAGGACACTGGGGGGTTACCCAGGGTCTGGTCTCCATAGTACCCTGGTGAGTCTGGGCCCTGGAGCTGTGGGAAGTGAGGACAAACAGGCCTCGTTGTAGCAAGAACCAAGTTCTTTATTTGTGAACAGGATGGGGACAAATGAACTCTGGGGGTGGGATGGGGGACAAGGTGTGGGGGCTGCCCCTTGGTCCCCAGGAGAGGAGGGAGGTCCGGGTCCCAGGCCTCCCCAAAGCTGGGGTTCTGCTTACCTGTGACCAAGGATGGTACTCATGCTGCCCTATCTTCCTTTTGTAGGACCTGACACCTTTGGGTGGGAGTAGGGCTTGGGCTTGCCCTTACCCTGGGAGGTCATGGGGCCTGGCTAGTGGCTGCTGTGGGGGTGGCATCTTGTTTGGGGGGGGGGGCTCTTGCCACTAAAAGTCCCCAGAGCAGGCTGTGGCTGCTCTAAGGCTCCCCCTTGAGCGCGACAAGGGTGTTCCGGAGAAGGAGGGTGCTGGCCTGCATAGGAGAGAGGTCCTTGATGCCCCCACCCCCACCCCCTGCCACCCTGCTCCCTGCTTCAGGGTGCTCCTCTTCCCACACCTCCTGTCCCTTCCATCCTTGCATTCTTATTCTCAGCAATAACGGCCACCATTTGTTGAGGGCTTACTGCTGATGGTGATAAGGGAAGGGTCCTGATGCAAGAGGAAACCTGGCCCTGAACCTCAACTGGGGCTGCTCAAGGTCCACCTCCCTCTTGACACATACTTGCAAGCATTTGGTAAGAATCTAGAGGTCTGGGAGTGGAGGGACAGTAAGACGGCACGGAGGCTGGAGGGCTCACCTTAGCGTGTTTGAGCTCCAGCTCTGCCAACTCGATGAGGTTCTTGCGGAAGGAGGACACACGGCGGGACTTGAAATCCATGAGCTCTGGGGAGGAGGGGGGAGAAGTGGGGACCCTGGCAGGGTAGGCTGCCCAGTGGCAGGGGTTGCGGAGCCAGGGGGTTTACCCTGCTTGGCTGAGTCAGAGAGGCGTTCGAAGCGTCGGCAGCACAGTTGCTGGTTGCTCTCCGCGGTCCGCACCTCCCGGTTCCTAGTACGTGCCTTGTCCAGTGCCTTGTTGGCGTTCTCGTAGTCGGCCAGTGCCCGCAGCCGCCGGTACAGCAGGTCCTGGGGTGAGCAGGGGCACGGGATCACTGGTGCCCACGGCCTCGCCTGCTTGCCCTCCCCTGTTGCTCCTGCTTTTCTCCAGCCCTGAGGTTTGCTCCAGGGCCACGTCTCACCTTGGCCGCCTGTGAGTCTCGCATGTAGTATCTCAGCATGTCTGACAGCTTGAGGTCCTCGTCAGAGGCCACTCGGCCTTCCAGCTTCTGAATCAGGAAGTTTGGAGGCTGGGGAGGGAGCTTACAGAGGGGCAGCTAAGGGCTGGGGTACTGCTGCTCATCTTAATATCAGAGAGTCACTGGATAACCACTCTAGGTCAAACCCTGATATTCAGGGGAGCAGGCCAAGGAAAACCACTAAAGAGTGGCATCTCATCTGGATCTTGGAAAGGAATTAGACAACAGCCAAAGGCGCTGCAGGTGTGCAAGCCTAGTATGTGTTCATGAGTTTAGTGGGGGCACTTGGACGGTGGTGGTTGGATCCTGAAAGGCCTAAAATGCAAGCTAAGAACTTCGGGCTTTGTATTTGGGGCAGTTTCTGGAAGCTGCGTGGTCACTGAAGGGCCTTGAGCAGGGAAGAGAGGTGATCCAACACATTTTAGAAAGACCGGCACGCTGCAGTGACTCTGGAGAAGAGGAAGCGTGTGTCTGGGGCAGGATGTTGGCGATGCAGTGCAGCCTGCTAGAGGCATGTGGCACATCCTTGTAAATGCCTTGGCAACCCTGGTGCCCACCCCCTCCCCTAACACCACACACATGCACTTGAGGCTGGATCCCTGTCCCCACTCCCCCTCAATAGGGTTTAACTCATGGTGAGTCCAGGGTACCGCTGGGTCCAAGTCATCATTGAACATTCCAAAATGACCCTGGAGCTTTCTCCATTTTCAGGACTCTTTTGTCCCCTGCAAAGGATCATTGGGTGCCCTTCCAATACAGGAAGCAGTACTCACCCTTAGTCGTTCAAAGAGTTCTGCCAATTTGAAGAAGCTCCTAGGAGGCAGTGGGGAAGAGTTAGGGCAGAGATCTTGAGGGGGTGTTGCTTAAAGCCTCCCACCTTAAAGCCTCCCTTAGCACTCGCACCCCCCACCCCGCCCTTGGGGAAATCTCCCTCACTTCTCCCAAATCCCAGCAGGAAGGAACTTCTGCACCTCCCACCTACAGCCCATAGTAGGTTTCCACAGTGACCCCTAGTGGGTAGACACAGTATTACAGGCATAGAGAGAGGGCAGGAGGGGTGAGAGGGAGTCCTCACGTCTTTAGCTGGTTGACTTCCTGTGTTCCCAGACTGCTCAGTGCAGCAGAGATAGGGATATAATCATCTGCCAGGCCTGTTGGGGAACAACCCTCCATCAGAGTCCCTTGGTCTGCACATCAAGCCCCAACCCTGGTGTTTGTGGTCATAGTGAGACCCGGGGCATTTCCTGCTCTCTTTTCTCCCTGCAGGGAGTAGGAATGCCAGGGAGAGGGGGCGGAGAACCCAGAATCCCTTGGGCCCTGCATACACTTGTGGGACTGCATGACACGGTCTGCCCGCAGGCAGGCATCCCGGATCCGGGTGTGGTACTCCAGCAGGAAGGTCCTCTCATGCTCAAAGAAGTCATCCACCTCCTAAGGGAGCCAGACAGGAGCCCCTTATACTGAGTCAGCAGGAGCACGGCACCCATGGACATGCAAGGGTAGCACAATCTCCTTCTAGGCCATGCTCCCACCAGTGGTTTCCCTCCCACAGCCACCCTAGGCCTCAATCTTTGCTGTGGACTTGAGGGCCTGGGTGGAATCTGCAGAGGGCCCCCACGGGTCACCTTGAGCCCTGACATGCTGGTGATGAGGGCTTCATCTGCAGACTTCACAATATTCCTCAGAAATCCCCCAAGGAGCTCCTTCCTGTTCTTTCCTCGGACACTGAGCTGAAGCACACATGGGGAGAGTGTGATGTTGGGGAGGGCATTTGTACTTCCCACCCCAGGCACATGCCACTTGTGGAGCTGATGAGACAGAGGCTTGAGCCCACCTAGCATCGTGCCCCCTGCCCCCGAGGGTGACCCCAGTGCTCTGGCCCAGCTCACATCCTGGCCATATTCCAAAAAGACAAAGAAGTTGTGGTCTCGACGCAGGGTGGGGTGGGCCGCCAGGCGTTGCAGAAAGACCTCATGCATTGCAACTGTCTTCTTGAAGATTGCCAGGTACTCCCTGCAGAAAATGGCAGGAAGCTCAAGGCCCTGCGAGGCTCTGCTGGGTCTCCTGCCCCTCAGAAGCCCTGGGGTCAGAGGTCAGGGTCTCCATCCACAAGTGATGAAATTCTAGGACTCTCAGGAAGGGGGTGGGCCTGGGGCTCCGTCATAGACAAGGAAAGGCCGTGACACTCACGCTTCCAGCTCCTGCTTCATTTTGGCAAACTCTTCCCGCGTGATGGAGCTGTCCCCCTCGCCCAACTTCTGCAGCTTTTCCCTCGAAGCCTCAAAGTCTGGCCTTGGAGGGGCTGGGGGGATCTGCTCAAGGGAGGGACAGAGCTGGGAGGTTCTCTCATTGCTGAGAAGGCCATCCCCAGCACGGGGAAGTGTGGCCCGGTCTATCCCCATCCGAGCACCCGGGCCTGCCCCTCCCAACCCCAGCCCGCCCTGCCCCTCCTCACAATGAGGCCGGCGTAGTCCTCATTTTCCACGTAGGCATCGTGGAGCCAGATGAACTCCTCGTGCTGCCGCACAACGGAGAATTCCGTTTGGGCGAAGTGAGGGAGGCAGCTCTGGAAGCCGAGAAGCCTGTCTGAGGTGTCTCTCCTCCCCTCCCAAACCCTGCACCCATCAAGCATCCTGGGCACCCACTTTTGGGCTTCCCCAATCCCACATCCCAGGTGAGGCCCAAGGTGGGCCTTGGTGGCTTAGCCGTCCATGATGTCACTCGGGACGATGGACGGGGGGAGGGTTAGGACTTGGGGCCAGAGGCAAACGGCCAGCTGGAGACTAGACGAGATGCTTGCTTTCTCAGAGGGGCAGGGGGCAGGGGCCAGGTTGAGGAACAGGGCCCGAAGTCTCTGTCGGCATCTGCCCACCACCCCCTGGGGCAAGCAAAGGCTGGGGGCAGCAGGCTCCTCAGGCAGGCATCCGAACTGCCCTCTTGCTCCCCTGGCAGCCTCACCTTGGTTTGAACAGTGAATTTCACCTTGTCCCGCTCACTCACTGCATCAGAGATCTCCACCTGTAAGGAGCTGTCTCCCTGCGGGTCCACTGATATGGAGGAGGGCTGCCGGGGAGGGGAGGTTTCGGACATGACTGACCACAGCCCCTTACCCACATCCTCACCTCTGACTTCAGGTCCTCCTGCAAAGCCCACCTCAGCAGCACTGCTTCTCCAATGCCCCGGGGTCACCAGCTACCCCTAGAGGGATCCTGATAAGTCACTGCTCGGGGCCTTACAATGACTACAACACTTTCCCACGCTTCCAACCTCAGAAGCAGCCAGAATGCTCCCCATTTCATAGATACGGAAGCAGACCACCAGAGAGGTGAAATAACTTTTCTGAAATCACACAGCTGCAAAGTGGCAGGACCAGATGTGAACCCAGTGTCTCAATTCCAGACCCCCAAATCCTTTCTTAGCTACCACCTTACCTCTTCCCCAGCTGGTTACTTCAGGTACCCTTTCATCAGGGCCTAAAGAGAGTTGGACAAGATGTTCTCGCCCCCTTTTGAGGGGTTCCTGAGACCATTCACCGCTTTTAGTCCCAAGAGGCATTGGCTTGTGGGCAAAGCGGGTGCATTTCTCTAAGGGAAAAGATCC